AGAAGTGAGAATATGTGAGAGAAACAACTATGGAGACACCAAAGTCAATGAAGAAGGAGGAGGAGGAGATACTGCAGGCACTGGAGCAGAGATGGTGCCCGTGCAGCCCGTGGTGAAGGACCACGGTGGAGCAGACACCTACCTGCAGCCCGTGGAGGACCCCACATCGGAGCTGGTATCCGCCTGCAGCCCATGGAGGACCCCACGCCGGAGCAGGCGGATGCACCCAAAGGAGGCTGTGACCCCGTGGGAAGCCCACGCTGGAGCAGGTCTGCTGGCAGGACTTGTGACCCTGTGGGGGACCCACACTGGAGCAGTCTGTTCCTGAAGGACTGCACCCCGTGGGAAGTACTCACGCTGGAGCAGTTTGTGAAGTACTGCAGCCCGTGGGAAGGACCCACGCTGGAGAAGTTCGTGAAGGACTGTCTCCTATGGGTGGGACCCCATGCTGGAGCAGGGTGAGGAGGAAGGAGCGACAGAGACAATGCATAATAAACTGATGGCAATCCCCATTCCCCATCCCCCTGTGCTGCTTGGGAAGAGGTAGAGAAGTCAAGAGTGAAGCTGAGCCCAGGAAGAAGGGAGGGATAGGGGGAAGGTGTTTTTAGATTTGTTCTTATTTGTCATTATCCTACTCTGATTTTGATTGGCAATAAATTAAATTAATTTCCCCAAGCTGAATCTGTTTTGCCCATGACGGTAATTGCCGAGTGATCTCCCTGTCCTTATCTTGACTTACGAGCCTTTTGTCGTGTTTTCTCCCCCGTGTCCAGTTGAGGAGGGGGAGTGATAGAGCAGCTTGGTGGGCACCTGGCAGCCAGCCAAGGTCAACCCACCACACCACCCTTCTTGTGGGCATGTCACTCAAAGACAGAGTCCCCAGAGCCTCAGCATGGCTCTTTCATGGCTGTCAGGCATATTGGGAGGGTGACCGTCCCCCATCCCTCCAGCTTTTGCAGGGGCAGGAGTCAGTCATGGGGGCAGGATTCAGGAGTGGAGGAGATCCTGACCCAAAACTATCCTGGACAGAGGGTGAGATCAGCACTGGAGCCGGAGCGGCTTCGCACCTGCTCAAAACGCCTCCCCGCTTCAAGGGATTGGAGATGTAACTTGGGTCCTCCCTTCCCCTTCTCTCCCCAGCAAAACAGCTCAGATCCCTCCATCTCTCCCTGATTTATGGCCTGCTCTGTCTCCCGTCCCACTCAGCAGCCCCACGCTGGTCTGGCCCCAAGTTGTCACTGCCCTTCTGCCAGGGACAGACACACTGGCCATGGAGACGCCAAGGTGTGGGCGAGGTTGGCAGAGGAATTGCTTCTCCTGACATGCCAAGGGAGATTGGCCAGTGTCCATGAAAGGGGAGAGTGTTCCTGGCCGCAATGTGGGGTCTCTGCAGCATGCTGGGGGGTTTCCTGGCGGGAACTTGTGAGGGGGAAGAAGGGTGAGAGCCACAGGAGCCACGTGCGGTTGGGGAAGTTTGTAGCTGTTTAATGTGGTGGTTTTCCAAAGTAAACCCCTGTTGGTGTTGATGGGTCAGGGATGGGAGACGAGATGAGCAGGGAGAGCTGGCGGCGAGGGAGCTCTCGTTGCTGGGCGGGCAGCCAGGCCTCAAATGATGAATTCCTGGGTCTCCCATGTGGCTTCGTCACCTTTCCTGCAAGGGGGGGCCACTATGAGCCATGCTCGGGGCCGGGGAGTTCATCCCCGCAGAGCTGCTGCTGCTGCAACCCCTAGTCCGACCCATCTGCTCATAAACCTGAGAGCAGACGGTGGGAGGGAGACCCTCACCTGCGCTTCCACCACCAAACCCCCCCAGTAGAGGCTGCAGCCACAAGGAGCAGCACTCCGATGGCGATGCCGACGGTTGGAGCTGCACGGTGGTTTTCTGGGACAGGGAGAGAAGAGGGCGGCCATGTGAGTGTGGCAGCACCAGGCAGGAGCTGCCCCTTGCAGGGCCAGTGGCTGCTACCTGCACCTTGTGCCCCGTCCTCATGGGTGTCACCTACCCCATGGGATGAGGAGGCTGCGGGTGCCCAGGCTGCGGTGGCGCACGCGGCCGGGGTCGGGG